CGACACTAAAGGAATAACTAGTTAGTTTGTAACTAAATTAGTTGCTAAAATTGCATCATAACACATCCTAATGAGCTATATTGATATTGAAATAACATAAATAAATTAGGTCTTTACTGGTTTACTGTGTTGCAAAATGGCTGCAAAAAAATTACAAAATTAAAGCTCTGCTGGGATAAAAAACTGCAGTTTTACTATTTAGTGAGTATAATTCTGGAGTATTTATTTGATTTACACCCACCAGGAGCATGTGTAACTTATTTTAGTTTTGTGTCTTGTAAGTACTGAACTATCTCTGGTTGCAATCACTTTAATTCTGTAATACAAAACTCAGTAATAATTTACAATATAACTTACACACAGCTGGTGTAACAGGCTGCTGTTTCTTTATTACAGGGTGTTAAAGCGAGGATAGATAATGTGTTTTAGAAACTGTTATATTTGTTGAAATTCAACAGCAACCAATAAATCAAATGGTATCTTGTACTTACTTTGTTCAGTTCAGTTCGTAGTCGCTGATAACAGAATTTGTCACTTCTTTCTAAGTTAAGTTATCAAAAAATGCACTTCAGTACGTACAACAGCAAGTGAACGCATCACCATTTAAATGCACTTCAGTACGTACAACAGCAAGTGAACGTCTCATAGCCCGACATTCAGCGTTGGTTTGTGACTCCACCACATTATCCAGCTCTGTTATATCTCCATGAGTGAGACACACAAATACAATATACTTCCTGGTTGTTAGTGACTGATGGCATTCTTGTCCAATCAGGAGACTGGACATGGGGTTTCAAGGCTGTCAGTTACTGGGATCAACAAGGGAACCAGGAAGAGAAGCTCACGCAGACCAGAGTGTCACCATCCTGCACGCCAAGGTCGCTCAGAAGTCCTACGGCAACGAGAAAAGGTTTGATGACATCTGTGGAGCTTTTCAGACGGATCAACAACAAACTCAAAATACACTCATAGCTCAGTGTCAAACATTACAGTGTTAATGTAGAGCTTTTTATCTGTTTTCCAAAGGTGATACAGTAGAGATACATGTGGTTAAAAGATCATTTTACACACACAAGTTGTTTCTGATCCGTTCAGATTGTGTAGTTTAAGTCTTTAGTACTGTAATGTTACCCTCAGGTTCTTCTGCCCCCCGCCTTGTGTTTACATCAGCGGTCCTGGATGGAGAGTCATGCAGGACCATCTGAAAGGTGACAAAACAAAAATATAGCCCATTTTAGAAGAAAACATTGAATACTCCCTTCTTCCTCCCATAATGTCCCTCCTTTGTCTTTCTGCCCCTCCATTGTTATTTTTTTCTCTCTTCCTGTCGTCTCCTTCCAGAGGCCGGCTATGGAGACTCTGTATATCGAGTGTGTGGCTACATGTGTCTGGACAGCTCCAGTCAATCTCAGACCGACACATTTAAACTGGTCTTTGACCAACAGCCAAACTCCAGGGTGAGACAAGTGTGTGTGATATATCTGATCTAATGCCATGTGCATACCTGTCTGCTTGTGCTATTGTTCACACAGTTCTCATCCGTCAGTCATATTCCCTCAGAGACACCAATTGTCTGAAAGTTTAAACTGGCCTTTGTCCCGGCTAAATTATCCCCTAACTTCCTCTCCAAACAGAAGTAGTTCTGCTGTATCCATATTCCTTCTTGGTCCTCAGCAGTAGTTAAAGCCAGTTCAATATTTACATGCTTGTAGATTTGTAGAATATTTAGGTTTATTATTTTCACACATTATCAGTATAAAACAATATTATATGTTAGATCTTTGAAAGGATGCACCTTGAGCTGACTCTGAACATGATGGGTGCGAGGATGGATGAAGGTAGTTGGCAGCGAGAATCGACTATTGTGCGTATGTAAAGAGTCTAATCTAAACTCTTCAGATCCATTAGTCCTCATAAAGATTTTAAAAAACTTGCTTCATATTTGAGACTGGCTACGTTCACGGCAGAGAGAGACACACCTGCAAACAAATGTCAGCTTTTCGTTCACTCCCCTCCAGTTTTCTCTGTATGTGCTATGTCCTACACGCCTCTCCGCCCAGGATCTCACACGCAAACTCTGAACCTTTCTCTTCCTTTTGTGGCCTTTTCTGGACAAATGTCAGTGTGTATGAACAGCGCAAGCTGGTGTGAATGTTTGTTTTGGTGCAAGGACACGGATTTGCAGAGTCGTCTACCACCAGATCCAGTGGTCCACCAGTGGTTACTGCCTCGTGGTTCAGTGTGTCGCCTGGTGGATTTACTCAGTCATCAGGTTCATGCTCCTTCTCGACTGCCATAGACTTTATGTGTGGGTTGTCCAGTCTTGGTAGGTTTGTCCCAGGCTTTAGTTTAACTTGAGAGGTTAGAACTACAGCTGCCTGGAATTACTCATGGTTATTCTAATAAGAATCACAACCTTTCAAGTCTTGACAAAGCAAACATCTCTGTTTCACTCTGACACATGTTCCCCTCTTCACCCTGGAC